TCTTTACTGTTTGAGTCAGCTACAATAGTCTGCACTTCTTAAATTTGTTTAAAATATATTTCCTCCCCCTTAAACTCTCTGTATTTAAGAGATATACTGAGAGGGATCCATGATGGCAATTAGAGGGAGGAAGCAGACAGTGTGAGCTCCATAAATCAAAAATCTTGCTGGGACACTGGAGCTATACTTGGCAGAAAAAAAAACACCAAGAAGAAGCAAAACTCCAATACCCAGAACCCCCAGCCCGTACAAAGCTTCTCCATGCTACGTTACACTGAGAAAACAGGAGGGCTCCTGCACCACCAGATGCTAGCTCCAAACCTGCTTGGGAGATGCAGACCAACAGGTGAGCAAATAAGTGGCATGCAGTATTCCCACAGCTACCCCTAGGATAAACCAGCATAGCTCCCTGGACAGTCTGACCCCCATCCCCAAAAAAAACAAAACAAAAACCCTGGATAATAAACAAGGAACTGAAAAGGACATGCACCAGAGGGCACAGGGTGCACTGAGCACACCGGAGAAGGGGGTGGGGCAAGGAGCTAATCTCTGCACAAACTTTCAGTAAACGAGCCTAGAAAGGCAGATGGGCTGACAGTAGGTGGGTGATGAGCTGCTGCCTGAAATAGGGCAGAGAGTGGTCCACAAAGCTTGTCTCCTGACCCAACCACCTGGCGAGACTACAACAGAGCTACTGCTTAAATACCAACACCAGGACTGGATGCTGAAGGAGTAACAGCAGAAGTACTAAGACTGAAATTCTATTGTTCCTGAACCTAGAATTTTTTTTTCTTCTAAGTGTTTGTCTTGTTCACTGTTTGTTTGTCCACCATCTCTCCCTGTTGATTTCTTTGGTTCTTCATTTTTTTCTTTCTTTTTATTTTTTCTCTTTATTTCTTGGTTTCATTAGTTTTACTATTGTAAGTTAGCTAATACTAAATTACACACAGACCAGGGACAGAAACAGTACCATGTGGAATGATGGAAAGACAAAAAGGGGATGGAAACCATTCTCCCCCCTCAAAATAAATTAGAACAGGATTCAGAGGGAAATGAAGAAAATGTATACCCAGCTCCAGACCCCAACAAAACAAAGATAGACTATCCCAAGGATACCCAATGAAGCCCCCAAGAACACCCTGAAAGAAGAAATTCTGCAAGAAATCACTGAGAATTTCATGGAGATGTTACTAAACAAGGTCAACCAAAATGTACAGGAGGCACTCAAGAAATTCCAAGACAACAAAAATAAAGAATATGAGAAGACACAAAAACAAATAAATGAACTCATAGGAGCCCTAAATAAATTCCAAAGGGAAACAGAGAACACCATAAGTAGAAAGATAAATGAATTAAGGACAAAAATTGAGAATATTACAGAGGAAGTGACCCATGATATGGAAAACCTCAGAAAAAAGAATGAAACAGAAGTACAAACACAGTGGAAGGCCAATCCAGCAGACTAGAACAAGCAGAAGAGAGAATCTCAGAACTTGAAGATGAAATGGAAATTAAAGGAAAAACCAAAGAACTATTACTCAAACAACTCAAAACCTGTGAAAGGAATATGCAAGAACTCATCAACTCCATCAAAAGACCAAACCTGAGAATCATGGGCATTGAAGAAAGAGAAGAGGTGCAAGCAAAAGGAATTTGTAATATATTCAACAAAATAATAACAGAAAATTTCCCAAATCTAGAGAAAACTAGATTTGGTGTACAGGAAGCCTCCAGGACACCAAACAGACTTGACCAAAATAGAACTACCCCACAACATATTATCATTAAAACAACAAGCACAGAGACTAGAGAAAGAATATTGAAGGCTGTAAGAGAGAAAAAAACAACATACAAATAGGTAAATCCATCAAAATCATAGCAGATTTCTCAATGGAAACCTTAAAAGCAAGAAGAACATGGAGTGAGGTCTTCTGGGCACTGAATGACAATAACTTCAACCCTAGGATACTCTACCCAGCAAAACTATCATTCAAAATAGATGGAGCAATAAAAGTCTTCCATGATAAGCAGAAACTAAAACAATATATGACCACCAAGCCACCACTACAAAAGATCCTTCAAAGAATTCTGCAAACAGAAAATGAAAGCAAACAAAACCATGAAAGGACAGGTAGTACCAAACCACAAGAAAAGAAAAGGCAAGAAAGTAGAGAGTAACATTGATTCAGCTGCACACAACCAAACCCTTAAACAACAAAGACAACTATATGACAGGGATCACCACGTACTTATCAATACTAACACTGAATGTTAACAGACTTAATCCCCCCATCAAAAGACACCATTTGACAAACTGGATTAAAAAGAAAGATCCAACAATCTGTTGCTTACAGGAGACCCATCTCATTGGCAGAAACAAGCACTGGCTTAGGAGGAAAGGCTGGAAGAAGATTTACCAAGCCAACAGCCCCCCAAAACAGGCAGGAGTACCAATACTTATCTCAGACAAAGTAGGCTTCAAACCTACATTGATCAAACAAGATAAAGAAGGACATTCCATATTAATAAAAGGAGAAATACACCAAAAGGAAATAACAATTATCAACCTATATGCACCCAACATCAATGCCCAGTTTCATCAAACATACTCTAAAGGACTTAAAAACATATATAAACTCCAACACAGTGGTAGTGGGAGACCTTAATACCCCCCTATCACTAATAGATAGGTCATCCAAACAAAAAATAAATACAGAAATCCTAGAACTAAATCACACCATAGATCAAATGGACCTAGCTGATGTCTACAGAATATTTCATCCAACTTCTGCACAATATACATTCTTCTCAGCAGCCCATGAAACCTTCTCCAAAATCGATCATATCTTAGGGCACAAAGCAAGCCTCAGCAAATATAAGAAAATAGAAATAATCCCATGCTTTCTATCTGATCACAATGCATTAAAACTAGAACTCAACAAGAAAAACAACAGTAAAAAACATGCAAGCAGTTGGAAGCTGAACAACACATTGCTAAATGATCAATGGGTCATTGATGAAATAAAAGAGGAAATTAAAAGTTTCCTGGAAGTTAATGAAAATGAAAACACAACCTATCAGAACCTATGGGACACAGCAAAGGCAGTCCTAAAGGAAAGTTTACAGCCATGAGTGCATATATTAAGAGGACAGAAAGATCTCAAAACAATGACTTAATGCTTCATCTCAAACTCCTAGAAAAACAAGAACAAGCAAATCCCAAAACAAGCAGAAGGAGAGAAATAATAAAAGTAAGGGCCGAAATCAATGAAATAGGAACCAAAAAAACCATACAAAGAACCAATGAAACAAAAAGCTGGTCCTTTGAAAAACATAAATAAGATTGACAGACCCCTGGCAAACCTGACTAAAATGAGGAGAGAAAAAACCCAAATCAGTAAAATCGTAAATGCAAACGGAGAGATAACAACAAACACCATGGAAATTCAGGAAATCATCAGAGACTACTTTGAGAACCTATATTCTTTTTTTTTTTAATTTTTATTTTTTTATTATTCATATGTGCATACAATGCTTGGGTCATTTCTCCCCCCTGCCCCCACCCCCTCCCTTACCACCCACTCTGCCCCCTCCCTCTCCCCCCACCCCCTCAATACCCAGCAGAAACTATTTTGCCCTTATTTCTAATTTTGTTGAAGAGAGAGTATAAGCAATAATAGGAAGGAACAAGGGTTTTTGCTAGTTGAGATAAGGATAGCTATACAGGGCGTTGACTCACATTAATTTCCTGTGCTTGTGTGTTACCTTCTAGGTTAATTCTTTTTGATCTAACCTTTTCTCTAGTTCCTGGTCCCCTTCTCCTATTGGTCTCAGTTGCTTTTAAGGTATCTGCTTTAGTTTCTCTGCGTTGAGGGCAACAAATGCTAATTTTTTAGGTGTCTTACCTATCCTCACCCCTCCCTTGTGTGCTAAAGCTTTTATCATGTGATCAAAGTCCAATCCCCTTGTTGTGTTTGCCCTTGATCTAATGTCCGCATTAGAAAATCACCTGTTTAAAGCAGTGGGATTAAGGTTTAACATATTAATTTTGGGACGATACAAACATTCAGACCATAGCAACCAGTAAAACCCAAACCTCAGGTATCTTTCTGTTGCGTTTAACTAAACTCTGGACAGGGCTGACTTTGTGCTCCAGTCCCAACAGTGTGAGAAGCCGCCGTTTCCTGTAACTTAAGAGGGTCTTTCTTTCTAGAGGAGCTTTCTCTTGAGTTTTTTTCTCTTTGGTGGTACTGGGGTTTGAACTTAGAACCTTACTATTTGCTAAGCACGCGCTCCACCACTTGAGCGTCTCTGCCAGCCCTAGAGCGGCTTTCATGGAGAACTTTGCAGAAGAATTTTTGGGGCGGGTTCTGTCCTCTGGTCCGCTGCGCCCAGACGCATGGGTGAGGGGCATCCGGATATTCTTTGAAGCCTGGTCTCGCTGCTTTCAAACAGGGCATCCGTGAAAGCCTGGATCCAGGATCTCTCGGCCTGAACGCGGCCGGGGATCCGGGTGGCGGCCTCTGCCGATCCGTGACGGCCTTCCCGGGTCTCCCGGAGTCAGGCAGGCCGAAGAGAAAGCGCCGAGCGGCCGGGCGGCCGGGAGCCTCGGGCACCGCGGCGGGGTGGGTGCCGCGCTCCGGGTCTTTTCGCCGAGGACCGTGGCGTGGTGGGGGCTGGGTCTTGATCCCGAAAAAGAAAAAACCAGAGACCTTCCTGGCGCCGGTGAGCCTAGGACGCGCCTTCTGGACCCCTGCCCGGGAGACCGCCCCTCTGTGCCGCGCAGGGAGGGAGTGGAAGGGAGATGGAGTTGCGCGTCTCTTCTGCGAACGTGGAACGCTTGGGTAGCGCTTTCCCAGGCCGCGGCCCGGGCTTTCTCCAGTCTGGCTGCTGAGACAGCACAGGTGGCCGGCAGCATCCCGGAGAACGTGCGAGGTCCCCGCGCACCCCTGCGCTCGCCGCCGCCTCGGGGAGGATCTCGGCTCCTCCTGCTGCCTGCGGGGTCCGCGGTGCTTCATGGTGCCTCCCGGTGCGGGGGCCCCGTGCCTCGGTGGGTGGTCAGTTGCATCTTCTCCGGGAGTTACTTGTTGCTGGAGGTTCGTGCCAAACTGGGTAACAATTCTGACTTTCCAGCTCTGGGAAACTCTGTGTATTTAGTGCAGAACATCTTGGGAGAGCGTCCAGAATAGTAGACTAGTTATCCACACGCAAGCCATTTCTTCGATGTTTTTGTACTTAAGCCTCAGTCGTCGAATTTTCTCCTGCTTGCAAGCTAGAGGCAGTGTTGTAGCATTGGATGATCATTAAGGTCTATTCAGAATTTGAAATTGCTGTAATAACTGATTGGCTAGCTTTCTGCTAGATGGCAGTGTGTGATAGCGTATGGAACCCAACCCCGACTGTCATTGTGTGACGATGCTCATCTTTTACTCAATGAGAAAAAAGTAGAACGTTTTCAAGTTCTATCTTACAAATGGGACATTTTTGAGAAAGAATATTTTAAAAATTTTGTTTTAATCGTTTTTACATTTACTTACATGTATATAAATTGTTGTAGCCACCTAATCCCCCACCCCACCCCCAAAACAAATTTAAATTAGGGTTAAATTTAGAAAATAAGGCAAAAGGATATTGTTTGAACAAACAATAATGATACTCATGTATGTATAACAATTGTTTACATGCAGAACCTATATTTAAATCTTTCCTTTTTCTTTTTTCTTTTCTTTCTTTTTTTGAGACAGGATCTTTCTGTGTAACCCAAGCTGGCCTTGAACTCAGTCCTCCTGCTCAGTCTCTGGATTGTTGGGATTACAGGTACGCACCACCACAACTGGCTTTATTTAAATGTTTATATTTGGAATGTAAAGAGTTGATTTCAGCAAGAAATGCAACATCTTACTCAGCTATCAACATTCTACAATAAACATTTGTAATAGCGTTCCTGAACATGGGTTTTCAAAAATTAAAAAAAAATTAAGTTCATGTTTATTCACAATGTTTTACAGATACTTTTTTCTTTAAAAAAAATTTCAGTTTCAGGAGGAATTGTTGAAATATTAAAAAGGAAATTGGGTCAGAGGTATAGCTCAGTGTAGGTATACAAGCTTAGTATGCTTGAGGCCCCAAATTCTATCCCTAGCATTGAAAAAAAAATCCTAAATTTGTGATATGCAAATTTTTTTGTTTTATATTTCCAGAAAGCTGCATTTGTGATGTCTAGCATTGTCTTGTTTTCTCTTTGCTGGATTAATCTTTCTATGGAGAGCTTTTGCTTCTGAGCACCATAGCACCATAGCACCATAGCTGTCTTCCAGGATGGCACCAGGATTGTCTGGTGGCCAATTGTCTCCAGACATGTGAAACACTAGCCATGTTCTGTGTTACTTAGCTAGTTCCTCATTTATGATTATGTAAATGATAAAAGTAGAGGGATTTTCATTCGGATCTGCCAGATAGGAAAATTGTCACAAAGTAACCTATAAGCCCTTCTTGGATAAAGAATAGTTATGAAGAAAAAGAAATAATTCAGATCTGCCAGATAGGAAAATTGTCACAAAGTAACCTAGAAGCCCTTCTTTGATAAAGAATAGTTATGAAGAAAAAGAAGTAGGAAAAAAGATGAAGAATCCCTGCTTCTTGAGGTGTTGCCTTAGTTCTTAGTGTGATTCATGAAGTTCACAGTCTTGTGCTTCCAACTGGGGCTTTATACCAGTGAGAGGTTGTGATATTTGCACTGCATAATTGAGTGCTCCAGCATGTGTCTGGGCTGTAAGGATGTAAGACTGTCCTCCCTGTCTGCAGTAGAAATGTAAAGGTGTTCTGACTAACCTTCTCTCCCATTATTCACTGGAATGATTCATATGAACTTTCTGCCTTACTAGCCTTGGTCTTGCCTGAAATGTATGCTTGGTTGGAACGAATGAGTTTCCCAAATAGAAAGCTTTAACCCAAAGGCTTCCTAACATAAAAATAAATGGTCAAAATAGGAAGTCTGTTTAAAAAGAGTGAGGAACACACAAACCAAGTAAATGCTAATAAAATTGGGTAAAAGTGAAAACTATAGCCATCCTGTCATCATCAGATGCCTGAGTGGCACCCGCAGGCACTGAGGAAGTCTGCAAATGAATAAGTAAGCCAGCTCATCAGTGTTCCACAGCCCTTTTCTATGCACTATGAAGCATCTTTACCAAGTTTCCTAAAATCCTCCAGCTTCTTGCTTTCCCTCCGTTGCTGTGGTAGAAATAAGCAGAAGATGATGTGAATCTTTTTCCTGACTTGGTCTTGGCAGGGATAAAACTTCCAAAGCAGTCAACTTCCAAACTCTCGGATAATGGCTAGATGTTGCAGGTTGGCATGAGAGTGCAGAATAGGAAGCCACATTCCAGGAACAGCAGGAACAAAGGCTCCCTGAGGGTGAGATCAGGAAAGGGAGCTAGAGAAGTAAGGAGGGGTCCACCCTAACTTATTTTTAAGCTAACAGAATTTGATCTGTATCTTGAGGTCTTTGGGAAGTCCTTGAAGGATTTTACTCAATGGTGAGATAGCCAGTCAACATTCTAGGGACATCTCTTTATAGCTGAATGGAGAAGATGAGCAGATGGAACTGGGAAGAACATCAGTATTAGGCTTTTTTTTTTTTTTTTTTTTTTTGCAGTACTGGGGCTTGAACTCAGGGCCTTCACCTTGAGCCACTCCACCAGCCTTATTTTTGTGTTGGGTATTTTTGAGATAGAACTGTTTGCCTGGGCTGGCTTCAAACCAGTATCTTCCTGATCTCTGCCTCCTGAGTAGCTAGGATTACAGGCATGAGCCACCTGCGCCCGGCAATATTGAGCTGTGAGAGTAACCATGAATAAGGAGTCTTAATGAGGCATAATTGAAGAGTTAGTTAAAAGTACCTGGGGCATAGTAGCCCAAGTGGTAGAGTGCCTACCCAGCAAGAGTGAGGTCCTGAGTTCAAACCCCAGTACTGCCAAGAAAAAACAAACAAAAAACCCCAGAAACTCTAGCTGAGTGACCAGTGGCTCATGCCTGTAATCCTAGCTACTCAAGAGGCAGAGATCAGGAGGATTTAGATTCGGAGCCAACCAGACAAATAGTTCTTGACACTCTATCTCAAAAAATCCTATCACACGGCTGGCTGAGTGGTTCAAGTGGTAGAGCATCTGCATAGCAAGCATGAGGACCTGAGTTCAAACCCCAGGGCCACCAAAAAAAAAAATCCTATCACACACACGCAAAAAGAGGTTGGTGGAGTGCCTCAACGTGTAGGCCCTGAGTTCAAAACCCCAGTACCGTTAAAAAAAAACAAAACCCCAAAACTAATACCCTATAAGCCTACTACCTCATCTGTTTCCAAGGATAGTCACCATTTGAGGGTGTTCCGGAGGCTTATATGTTATAAAGTGATACCACCTCTTGAGAGAGTCACACATATTTGAGAGTTACTCATTGGTGTGAATGTTTGATGATTAGATTTCTTTTGAAAGATTCCTGGTATTAGCTCAGTTAAGAGTCACTTGTCAAACCAGTTGATTCCCAGCTACTAGAGGAGAATGGAGTAAAGGAGTCTTCCTCAGCTTCCTGCCTTCTTACCTCTTTCCTGCTGTCTGGGCAGCAGGTGGCCAGCTCTGCGTAGTGGACAGCAGCTCTGCAATACATTGCAGAAGCTCAGCTCCTAGGTCAAGAGGATGGTTAGCGAGAGTCCATTTCAGACGTTATCCATTGTGGTCATCTGAACACACATGTTGCTGTGTCACAGAAAAGCATATTCTGGGAGCATTCTTTTGTAGGACCCACAGGCAATGGTGAAACAACAGGGAGCTTCCCTCTTGCAATACTGTTGAATTGGAGCTTGGTGTTCTTTATGAGACTCTCTGTCTCACCAGTTGGGAGACTGCTGACTTGATGACAGACTCCTTGTAATTAATAGATGTACTAGATTGACTTACTGTTGTAAATGTACCCTGAGGTCTGGCTGATTGCTGCATGCCGTGAATCACTGTAGTGGGATCCATTCTGTAGTCATGGGTCGTTTCACCACAGCTTGCTGCCTGAGACCCCACTACACATCTGGCTTTGGGAATATAGCCTAAGTTGAGATTCTGTGGATGCAGGGGAATTTGTCATTTTAAATTCTTCTGTTGTAGTGATACAGCCATGTAAAGTTTTTCTCTTCCCACTTCTTTTCCCTTCCCACTTCCCTCCCTCCCTCCTTCCCTTCCTTCCTTTTCTTCTTTCTCCTTCCTCCCTCACTCCCCTCTTTCCTCTCTTCCTCCCTCCCTCTCTCTTTCTTTCCTTCCTCTCACTGTGTAGTGCAGGGTGGTGTAGAACTCATGATCCTTCTGCCTCAGCCTCCCCAGTGCTGGGTTTGCAGGCATGTACCACCACGACTGGCCATGTAAAGATCTTACGAAGGCCCTGCAATAGATGTGAGCTGTGTGATAGATGTAAAAATAACCCTAACTCTGTCCTCAAACTCTCTCACCATCTTTTGTTTTCCTTTATTCCTGACTCTTTTGTACTCTTAACAAGTTGTCACTGTTTCCTCCATCTCTTTCCTTTCTACTGATCTTGGAGTCAGATGACCTGATTTCTTGACCCATTTCTAAAAATACAGTCCAGTTACTTAGACTCGCAGGGAGGCTCAGTTTCCTTCTTATGAGAACTGAGAATGATAACACCTACCTTGTCTAGTTTAGAGTGGTTATAAATAAGATTCAGTGAAGTGGTCTCAACATCTTTTGAAAAATGATAGTTTTATTCCTACTTAGGTGGTAATATTATTTTAGTACCTAATCTTGGTTACATTAATTATAGCTATCATAAATTGCTTCTTCCCATGAAATAACAATTTGATAATCTTTCTTTTAGTAAGGGAATGAAATAGTAGTTAACATGTATTATTTACTCTGAATAAGCTGAGGCTTAGGAGGATTTAGTAAGGTATCCAAATGTATATTCTGCATAAGTGCTAGAACTAGAATTGGAACTTCAAATGCTAGCTCCACATTTTATGTAGCTAATAGCTACTAGCATCTACTAAGTAGGAAAGGTGCTTTCGAGGTTCTGAGAGATTTTTTTTTCTTGTGAT